ACTAAGCCACTATCCTATCTTTGATGTTGGTTAACCTTCCACTCAGATCAGTATCTGCTGTCCTATGTCTGACCACAGTCAATCTTCACATGATTTTTTTGGAGTGATAAATTCTCTGTGCTACCAATGCAACTTGTCATGTCTTTCAATACCAAGACGAGTTGTCATTCTCCAAGCCTTCACCACTGGGGTCAGCCTTGAGTAGATTGATTTAAAGGTACCAAAAGTGAGTTAAATATGTGGTTGGTCCTGTCTGTTTTTCAATGTCTATCCAGGATTCATGTGAAGCACACCCTTTGATTAGATAGGATAGTGACTTCTCATATGAAAAGACATCACAGATTGCAAGTATAAAAAGCAGCCATGGACCTGACATCAAAAGCAACTATTCATAAGTGGCAGAATGTCAACTCATCCCAATCCTTCAATCATATCCCCAATGACCTATATATATATAGCTAACCACACTACATACTATATGTCAGAAAAGTGGACACAATTAACTTTTGTAATGAAAAAAGCGGACACTACAAACCATTGTAGTCTCAAAAAGTGGACACTATTAACTTTTATAATGAACAAAGCGGACTCTACAAACCATTGTAGTCTGAAAAAGCAGACACTACTAACTTTTGTAGTCTCAAAAAGCGGACACTACAAACCATTGTAGTCTCAAAAAGTGGACACTATTAACTTTTATAATGAAAAAAGCGGACACTACAAACCATTGTAGTCTGAAAAAGCAGACACTACTAACTTTTGTAGTCTCAAAAAGCGGACACTACAAACCATTGTAGTCTCAAAAAGTGGACACTATTAACTTTTATAATGAAAAAAGCGGACACTACAAACCATTGTAGTCTGAAAAAGCAGACACTACTAACTTTTGTAGTCTCAAAAAGCGGACACTACAAACCATTGTAGTCTGAAAAAACAGACACTACTAATTTTTGTAGTCTCAAAAAGCGGACACTATTACTTTTGTAATGAGAAAAGCAGACACTCCTAATTTTTGTAGTCTTTGTCTGACCTTTGTGGTCTATGTCCAACTTTTGTAGTCTTTTTTGTAGTCTATTAGTAAACTTTGTAGGCT